GGGGGGGGGGGCATTTGGGGTTATTTGATGGCTCAGCTCCTGACTATCCTAGGGCTCCAAGTGCTGCTAGGCAATACACTCAGCCTTCCACACACCTCTTACCCACCTAGGGCTGGCTAATCAATACAAATAAAAAGTGAAAAATAAAGAGCTTTGACTACGAAGTTTTTTTTAAATCTTCTCCTTTTGTGTATCTGCTCTTATTTTTTTTCAGACGCTTGAGAAAGCCAGGAAGGAAAAGCTAAAATCAGAAAGAAGGAAGAGACAACTTCTCTCTTTGTCCAAGTACATAAAAGACTCATTTGAAAGACTCCATTGTCAGTGCCTTGCCTCGATATTTCTAACACTGGGTTTCTCAATAAAGAGTGTTCTGCCTTCACAGGCGGGGTTGTGGTGGGGAGATGAGTGTAGGGAGCCAGTGAGAATGCTTCTAGCTAGACGGGGCTGCTGGGGGGGCGGATATCCTCTAAGGGTGTGTGTGGGTGTGGGGGGGTTATGCCATAAACTCTATGAATGGAGGAATTATTCTGTATTCTTTATTTCTAGTGCCTAGGATCTGCTACAATGGGACACATAGTAGGTGTTCCATAGACATATTTTAATTAGTTGCATAAGGTAATAAAACACACCAAGAATTCTGCAAATTCTTAAATTAAACATAATGCCCTCTGATGTCTCAAGCAGGTAGTACTCTATGCATATACTCCACTTATTTAAACAGAGCAAAGGGGAAACAGGAATTTAGGGACATAAAACTTCTGTTAGCTATACTTGGAGCAAGAATGTTCTGCAAGTATTAGAGATTGTACGTGGAGAGGTGATAAACGCATGAATCATCATGATAATCACAGAGCACATGAAGCGCTGTAAAGATCGGAACTCTGAAAGCTGTGATCAGTTATATAATACTTTCAAGCCTTTCTCCCTGTGACACTGATTCTCATTTTAACATTTTCTTATAATGGCTTGTCTCTTCCTTTCTCAACTGCGTGGTTCCCTCAGAAGAATCTCATTACGCCTTCCTAAAATAGCCATTTGGATACAGATAGTTCTCCAAACCCCTTCCACATGCTAGAAAAGAAAGCAAGGAGACCCTACAGCTGCTGAAAAGGTTAACCCTTAAAGCAGCAGAAATAAATGAAACGGTAATGGATATGAACAGATGCTTAACGCCCAGCACCTGACCAAAGTCAGTCTATTCCCACAACGGCTGGGTTTAGCGATTTCCTCTACTCACACGTTCATTTCCTGCGTATTCTCGGCTGCAAAATAGAAGGTCTTGATCTGAGGATGGCTGATCTTAAAAGCACTTGAAAGGAAAAAGCAGAGACACGTAAGAAATTAGTGTTTGTAATCGTCAGTGGGTTTGGAAACATGTAACTAAGTCAAATGTAAGTACGGTAAGTTCATTCGCTTTCTTTGTAAATTTACGAAAAAGAATTTAGTCACATTCAATACCTACTGTCTAATCTCTATTTCATCTCAAAAACAGAGGGTTAATCTATTATGTTGTAACATCCAGAACAGGATGGAGTCTTGGCTGATCAATAGCTTCTATTTAAAGCACATGGGCATATTCTTTAATTTTCACTTACTAACTACTTTGCTATAGAGACAATAAATTAAAATACAGAGTGACAGAGGTGCCACTTCAAAACACGTAGAACAACTCTTTCAAGAAGAGTATTAATTCAATCAAATATGTTCAAAAATTTACAGGAAAATAACCAAGCATAGAACTTCCCCACTGATAACCCATCAAAAACCTGATCTGGCCACCCTCTAGTAAAGAAAAAATATAATGTAGACTTTTCATTTAAAATAAAAGTGTAAAACATTAAAGATAACAAATAATAGAGTGTTTCCCCTTTATCGTTTAGATCGGAAGTCCTACGGCACACGGGCAAGGGTATTTACAAATGGTTTGGTCAAAACTGCAAGAATCATCGCGAACTCATGTATCGCAGGGTACATGCAGCTCCACCAGGGTGGCAAAGGCTGAAACTAGCACCAGTTCACTCTTTTTCTTAGAAACAAATCAGTTGCTGCTACGAGTAACATAGGCCACTAGGAAATGCCCTTTTCTAACAAAACATGAAAAGATGTCAAAGGCAGAGGAAGAACAGGAAAAAAGTGACAAGGACACATGGAAAATGCAGCCAGATGCCATCAAGAGCACTTGACTGGGAGTCCAGGTAGCTGGACTAGAGCCAGCCCTCCCATGAGCTCTAGGCAAGTCCAGACCTCTTGGTAAACTGAGGACCACGGCTGGTGACTGGTTTCTGTTCATTCTAAAACCTTTTGGATTTAAATTATATCAGGGTGTAATCCCCAAGTCTAAGACAGCTCAAGAATTTTCAACTGCAAGGGAGCTACTGAAAATTCTATTCTACTATAAACTAAGAAAAAGTGACGGGTCTTGCCATCATGCAGACAGCTCTGGAGAATTTTGTTTAACTAGTGATTCTCTTCATAGGACAAAACCTTGACATCTGACCTCCCTGCCAGTTCTGGAAGGGAGTTTGTTTTTAATTCTATCTCAGGCACAGTCATCAACACATGCCGTGCCAAAGCTCCATGGGGTTCTCAAATCCATCTGCTCCACAAAATGAAATTCCTGAAAATAAGAGGTGAAAAGCTCCTATTATTGTTTAGGGTTCCAACCCATAAAGCTCAAAGTTCTCAGACACTGAGTGTCACCTTCATTAACTCCCAAATCGCCTCATCTCCCAAGGAACTTTATGAATGGCTCTCATCCCGGCTCTGAGCTTTGTGGAAAATGATAGACAACTTACTGCTTTTTTTTGCACTCAGATGCTCTCTCCACAGTGAAATCGGGCAGGTTTACGAATCCGTCGGCTTTATCTGCCTGAAACACATGCATAACATATATGTGAACAAATGCATTAGCCCTAGCAGTTAGTTTACTGAGATTACATACACTGAATAAAGATGGAATAAATGAAATGAAGGAGAGACAGCAGAAAGCTCCCTGAGTCAGCACTGGACTTACCCCAGATGCACATTTTATTAGAGAAATTCATATTCTCCTATAGAGTCATCTAGAAGCTTTCCATGCATAGTAACATGACACAGCTTAGGGATGGCCAAGGGGTGGCACCCAAAGGACCTGCCCTGGCCCTTCCTCTCTCCCACCCCATCAGAGCTCTGCTTCCTGCCGAGCCTGTAGACACCCCCAGCATCATTCTCATCCGACCCCCACAGTTAGCCCCAGGGCATAAGGTGGAACCTAGTTAGCCCTGGCCCAGAGCGTGGGGACAGGCTTGCCTCCGGAGTTAGTAAATCAGTGTTCATATTATGCTCTACCACTTACTGGCTGTTATAAGACTTAAATGAGTTCAGGTAAATAAAACACTTAATGAACAACCAACAAACATTATTTCCTCTCCCAAGGCTGTAGGAAGTTCCTTGGGGAATAGATCACAGAGTCATATCAGGGAAAATCTCCGTTCCATAATTGATCCCTAGGAGTTCTTTCTACAAAGGAAAGACTCCAGAAGAAAGTGACACTTTTGAGGCATAATATAAAGGCCACTTTAAAACATCAATATTTTTATAGGACATGTAATCATTCTTCCACCTCTCAAAGAATTTGTTAATATTTACAATATGGATAAAATTTAACTGGACCACAAGGAGGCTAGATTGCTTATCACAGACAGAACCCAATTCTCCTTCCATCTACACTGGTGTCTGAGTGGAGAAGTACAGACCCCAAGACCAAACATAAATGAGTCAGTGGGTATTGGGAGATAAGCAAAAATTGATTTTGAAACTACAATCTTCATTTTTAAAATCAGCTCGCTATTAAGTTAGCACCATGGGTGCCCTTACTTTCCTTCATCATCTGTCTCTTCCCCTTATTGCCATCTAGAGTGCACCTTGCACTCTTTTCTTCAGAAAAATTAAACTGAATCATCCAACCCTATGCCTGTCCCATCTTTTCTCTCCTACACGAGTCAATTTACCATACGCATCTGTGCAGTAAATCTTCCCTTCATGAGCAAAGGCATTTTCCACTGTTCTGAAGCAAGATGTGCTCAAAATCCAAGATAACTGTGTCAAAATTGTCTTTGCTGATTTGACTTGCAGAAAAAATGCCTCCAGAAAAGATCATCTCAGTGGGAAAATCCCAAAGGGATGTGAGCTTCTCGCCTTCCTCCCCCTTTGTCCCCTCCTGCCCCTCAGGTCCCTGGCCCCTTACCACGCTAACCAACGCAGCGCTCTCGACGCATCCCTCCTCTTGAGAATCCCTAACTTTCTGAAGAGTTCCTTGAACGCTCTGCACTGGAGCCCCTGCACCTCCCTCTGCAGCCTGAGGTCATAAAAACATGTCATCTCGCCAGCAGTTGGCCACCGAGGGCACTGGTCGTACCGAGCCTGGGCCTACGGTGAAGCGAGACGGGCTTCCCACCCTGCGTCCGACGCCCTGCACCCCGGAGAGCTGCCCCACCGGCCAGCCCAGCCTCCCTCCCGCAGCGCTGGTGTCCTTTGTCTCGTGGAGTCTCCCTTGCACTTGCTGTCACTAGGCAGCAAGACGTACACATCTTTATCAGAACTCTTAGGGTCACACATTCCCTTATTCAGCACATGTATCTGAGCAGCTCCTCTGTGTCGGGCACTGTGAGATGTGGGGATGTGTCAGTGAGCAAGCGGACAGAGATCTTCACTCTCAGTGGAAAAAGAGACAATAGCTCAACATAGAAGCACATAAACTACATAGCGTGTTACAGGCAATGACTGTTATGGATAAAAGTACAGTTGACCGAGGTAAAGGGGTCCTTTAGGAGCAGGTTGCCTTCTGCTCCTAGGCTTCTAATGCCCTTCCCACCTCGCTCCCCTAGAACTGTCCCCAGGATATCAACTCAGGTGTTACCTTCTTCAAAACTTTCCCTGTTTCTCTCAGGCTGGAGCAGGTGCCCTCTCCTCGGCACCCAGCACCAGGGGTGGGCTTCACTTACATACTTCTCTTCCTATATTTGGTTATCTGTTTATTTGTCTGTTTCTCCAATAGACTGTGAGTACTTTGAAGGAAATATTTCTGTCATTTATATTATAGCATTAATACTTGGGACAAAGTAAGTATTCAAAGCCTGTGAAATAAAAAATGAGTTTTATAAATGAATGAATGATAAGGAACATTGTCTTTTTCCTCTGACAATAAAGTACTAAAATGAGATGCAGAAGCCACTTTGGAAAATCAGTTTAATAGCTTCTAAAATATATAAACATATAATTACCATATAACCCAACAATTCTGCTCATAGGTATCTACCCAAGAGATATGAAAGCATACACCCACACAAAGATTTGCATGCAAATATTATAGCAGCATTGTTCATAACAGACAAAAACTAAAAATAATCTAAATGTCCATCAACTGATAAATAAACAATGTAGTATATTCATACAATGAAATATTGTTTAGCGAAATATGGACACATGCTAAAAACATAAATGGACCTTGAAAACACTTTGCTAAGTGAAAGGCAGATACAAGAAACCTGTATAATTCCTGTATAGGAAATGTAGAGAAAAGGCAAGTCTATGGAGATAGAAAGTATAATGGTTATTGCCTGGAGTTGGGGGCGGGAATGGAGATTAACTATAAATGGGCATGGAGAATTTTATTGATATATTGAAAATGATTTAAAATTGATTTATTATGATGATGTCATCACTCAATAAACTTACCAAAAATTATTGAATTAAAAGTTTAAATAGGATGAATTTTATAACATACAAAATATATTTCAATAAAGNGTAAAAAGTAGAATGGTGGTTGCCTGGAGTTGGGAGCGGGAATGGAGATTAACTGTAAATGGGCATGGAGAATTTTATTGATATATTGAAAATGATTTAAAATTGATCTATTATGATGGTGTCATCACCCAATAAACTTACCAAAAATTATTGAATTATAAGTTTAAATAGGATGAATTTTATAACATACAAAATATATTTCAATAAAGCTGTTTTTCAAAATATGAGATGCAGGGAAAGTTTGGGGAATGAAAAGCTCTGAGTGAAATCCTGCCCATTTGACCATCAGTAAGACCCAAAGAAGGGGAAGTCTGAGGTCCCTGACAATCTGCTTATGACTCAACATGTTTGCTGAGACATTAGACACAAAATTGCTTTACTATTTCTTATAGTCTATGGTTCAAGCCTAACTATGGCTTTAATTCTGGACCACAGGAATTTTAGAAACAAAAACATTTTACGTGAAATCTGCCACACTTCAGACATATTTTTTAAATTGACAAAAACAGGACATCAAATTTTAATATTTAAATACAAAAATTAGTGTTCATTGCCATCAAAAAGTTTGGCTTTTTCACACTACAAATACATGGCAAAATAGACAAAATTACATAACTATCTACATAAATCAGAAAGGTAGAAGGGTAGACCTAGAAAAATAAGAGTGATGTATACGTTTCAAAGGCTAAGTCAGAGAAGACGCAACCAGCAACAGATGAAGTATAATAGAAGAAATTATTACGTATTTCATGGCTAAAATAAAAAGTACTTCCTATTCTCAGTGAAATCATGTTACCTTGATTCAAAGAAACCTGGTTGTTTTTTTTACACTAATAATACTGAAATCAAGAGGCATCTTAGAATCTATATGAATTTTCATTGTAGCATTTCCCCTCAAAACCTGTTATTAAACAAATTATAGGTATTTAAATAAAAATCATCAATTTGAGGGGAAAATAGTTTTAAAAACAAAATATAGATTTTGTTATAATATGCTTTTGTGTTTATGTGTAAGTATGAATTTAACATTCTTGGAATTATGTTAGATAAAATATGAGGTGACCCCATGACTATCAGAATCAAGAGAAGCTACAAACTCCAGTTCTCCAAATAGGCCCACGGTTTGCTCAGTTCTGCCCTGAAGCCCCAGCAAATTGGAAACCAGCAAAGTCCAAACTCTAAGCAAAGCTGCCCATTCTCATTTCACCTGCACAGTTGTCAACAAATTCTAATGGGATACACAGACTTGTGAGCTGCTAGAGAAATCTGAGTTATAGTCTCTGAAACACAAGCCTAAAATAAACAAAGATGGAAGAAAAGAAAATGTAAAGTCAACTGTGAAGGTTCTAGCTCTACAGAGAAACAGTCTCAGATACAGCTGGTAGTGATGCAAAAGGGAACACAATGCACGGAAACTGGGCAGTAACTACCAAAAATGCAGGTTCCCTCTGACCCAGGAACTCCACTCCTAGGATCTGTCCTAAATATAATGATGTGTAATGACATGTGCATTGCAACGTCTGCAGCAACAAAAAAAACAGTGTAAGGAATCCAAGTGCCTATCGTCATGAGGGGACTGTTAAATAAACTGTAGCATCCACATACAATGAATAATTATTTTAAAATGACATATACACACATAGAGTAATCTCCAGGACATGGCAAAAGAAAACATAAGATACAGTACAATAGATACAGACTGCTAATTCTGTGTAAGAAATGAGAAGCAGGCTATGCCTCAGTATGCACACTTGCTTATATCTACAAAAAGGATCCATGGAAAAATAAAACAGAAACAGAAAACAGGGAAGGAAAGAGAGCAGAGGAATGAAAGCAAGACATACCTGGTTGCAACTTGTAATACTAGGTTGACTTTGGCATTGGGGTAAATGATATCTACTAAGAATAAAATAAAAACAAACCAAAAGCAGAAGTAATTCCTAAAATTAAATAACAAACAGAAACCAATGAACCTAACCAATGAATATAAGACGGTGACATAACCCCCAGGAATAACAGTGACTCCACGGGACAGTGGAGCAGAGAATCTCCCACACACAGCGCGCTATGGCCTGAGGACTGTTA